TCATCTTCACTTTTCAGCAAGCAAAGTTGTGTCATCTGCATATTGTAGGTCGTTAATGAGTCTTCCTCCAATCCTGAGGCCACATTTTTGTTCATATAGTCCAGCTTCTCAGATTATTTGCTCAGCATTCACATTAAATAAGTATGGTGAAAGGATTCAAACCTGACGCACACCTTTCCTGATTTTAAACCACACAATTGATCTGTTGATCTGTTCAAATGATAGCCCCTTGGTCTATGGACAGGTGCCTCATGAGCACAATTAAGTGTTCTGCAATTCCCATTCTTCCCAATGTTATCCATAATCTGTTATGATCCACACAGTCCAATGCCTTTGCATAGTTAATAAAACACATACAAACATCTTTTTGGTATTCTTTGCTTTCAGATAAGATCCATCCGACATCAGTAATGATATTCTACATTCCTCATCCTCTTCTGAATCCAGCTTGCATTTCTGGAAGTTCCCTGTCAATATACTGCCCCAAGTGTTTTTGAATTATCTTCAGCAAAATTTTACTGGTGTATGATATTGTTTGATAATTTACACATTCTGTTGGATCACCTTTCTTTGGAATGGGCATAAATATGGATCTCCTCCAGTCAGTTGGCCAGGTAGCCAGCTGTCTTCCAAATTTCCCGGCATAAAGGGGTAAGCACCTCCAGCGCTGCATATGTTTGTTGAAACATCTCAATGGGCATTCCATCAATTTCTAGAGCCCTGTTTTTGCCAATTCCTTCAGTGCAGCTTGGACTTCTTCTTTCAATACCATTGCTTCTTGGTCATACGCTTCCTCCTGAAATGACTAAACATTGACCAATCTTTTTGGTGCAGTGACTCTGTGTATTTCTTCTATCTTCCTTTGATGCTTCCTGCATCGTTCAATATTTTGCCCATAGAATCCTTCAATATTGCAATTTGAGGCTTGACTTTTTTTCTTTAGTTCTTTTAGCTTAAGAAACGCTGAGCATGTTCTTCCTTTTTGGTTTTCTAACTCCAGGTCTTTGCATATTTCATTTAATACTTTGTCTTCTTGAGCCACCTTTGAACTCTTCTGTTCAGCTTTTTTATTTCAACATTTCTTCCTCTCACTTTAGCTACTCTCTATTCAAGAGCAAGTTTCAGAGCCTCTTCTGACATCTATTTTGGTCTTTTCTTCCTTTCTTGTCTTTTAAATGACCTTTTGTTTCTTCATGTGTGATGTTCTTGATATCATCCCACAACTCATCTGGTCTTCGCTCACTGGTGTTCAATCCATCATATTTATTCTTCAGTGTTATTCTGACCATTTTACTGATTGGATAAAGTGGTAAAAGACTTGCATGAGCTGCAATCAACTTGTTGTTGTTGTTATGTGCCGTCAAGTCGGACCCAACTCATAGCAACCCCTTCTTGGGTTTCCGAGGCAGTATCACTATGGAAATAGATTGCCTAACTTTCCTTCTGAGGAGTGGCTGGTGCATTTGAACCGCCAGCCTCCTGGTTAGTGTCAAGTGCCTTAGACACTATGCTACCAGGGTTAAAATCCCAAGTCCTTTGTTCTTTCCATCAAGAAGTAAATAAACCTGCATCCCTCCTGGTCTTTTTAGGACACTTTAATATAGGCTAAACCTTCAGGAGAAAGAGACTAGAGTGCAGAGTGGAAATGGATGAAGGCCCGAGGGGAGGCCACAGAAGTGGCCAGTAGTCTTATTGGGGCGTTCCTGTTAATAGGGAAAGAGCACTAGACTAGGAGTCCATCAAGAAGGGATCCTAAAGCCAGTTCCACCTCATACAGTTGGGCCAGTCATTGTCTCTCAAAATCTGAGTTTATGCCCCTCTGTTGAATGAGGGTGGTGGTGGCCTTCCCTTCCTCACAGGTCACTGTGGGTGTAAATGACCCAATGTGTGTTGCCTTTACGATTTTGTTGAGCATTGATTTTCCTCCATCCACCTCATCTCCCCCCAACCACTCCTATGCAGGTTCTCTGGGTCTGTGTGCTCGACAGTAGCACAGGGATGCCCTGGGTTAAGCCAGAAGTGCTAAGGAGGCAGGAGAAGCTGATGCTGAGGGGCCACTCTGGCCTGTGTGTGAACTGTGGCCTCTGCTCGGGCCCTCATCCATCTCCACTCTGCACGGTAGCACAAAGAGATCACAAGTCCACCAGACCTCTCTCCAGCCTCCTGTCTTTTCCGGCATAATTCTCACCTCCTGTATTCCCCCAGCTTCTGTAAGAATTTCCAGAGCTAGTCTTCTGATTCAATAATTGAGTTATTTTCCATTCTGCTTTTTGTGGTCTCTGTTAGGTTCTTTGTCTTAATTTCCTCCATCATACTTTTATTTCCATGAACTTCTTTCCTCCTGAATTAATTATTTTTCTTAGCAGGTTGCTCTTGTATCGTGGGCTTAATAATCCACTAATTTTCTCCAAGGATAAAGGTGGTTTTTTTTTTTTTTTTCCTCACTTCCATCCCATTAACTGCTTCATTTGAGATGGGGAGGGGTCTGGTCACTCCTCCTCCCAGCTGTCCACCCCTCTCTGGGCTTTCTCAGCCCCTTGTAGGGTATGTATACTGCTTGATGGTGTTCTTTGTCCATTGCTGTTGTAGCTTGAGGGGGCCTCCCTGGGCACCACTGCCTGATGCCGTGTGGACCCAGGAAGGCCTTCTACCCAGAGTTCCTGAGGCCACAGGTTCCATCCTTAGCAGTCTGTTTGCTGAGATGAATAAGTGAGGCTGAACTAAATGCAGAATTATTGGGAACACCCAGAAAGCTGTCTTTGCCATCAACAGACAGGGCAGGTAGTTTTAGAAGCATGCAGTCATAGGCCTGTCTTCACTCGTGAACTACACACACCCCATAAGAAAACCTAGGTTGGGGGTTGGGGGTACTTGTGCCCTTGACTTCCAAAGCCACCCAGCACTGCTACTTCTACTGTGAGCACATCTGGGACATGCGTGTTCACTGGAGCTGACTCTGGAAACTCTGGGTGGTGCAAATGGTTCATGTGTCCAGCTACCAACAGAAAGCTCGGAGGTGGGAGTCCACCCAGAGGTGCCTGACAAGATCCTTCCCGCAAATCAGCCACTGGGTGCTCTATGGAGCACAGTTCTGCTCTGACACGCTTGGGTCCATCATGAGTTGGAACCAACTCAAAGGCAACTGGTTACTGAATACTAATCATATGGAATTAGGAAGACATTTAGAAGGTTCCCATGGCCGTGCTAATCCCATGGGGGTGCACAGTCATAGTCCAGAGTTACCTGTGGTTCTGCCTCATCACCCAGCTCAGGAGCCTGCAGCCACCCATCCCTCACTCGATGCTGATTACCACTGGTGTCATGATGCTAGGAAATTGCAGAGGATTATAAACCTCCATGGCAGCTCTGGTAGCATAGTGGCTAAGGCACTTGACTGCTAACCAGAAGGCTGGCGGTTCAAACCCACCAGCCACTCCTCGGAAGGAAGGTTGGGCAATCCTACTTCCGTAGTGATACTGCCTCGGAAACCCAAGGAGGGGTCGCTATGAGTCAGGGCTGACTCGACGGCAAATAACAACAACAACAACATAAACCTCCATGGGGAGGCTGTGGAGTCCTCATCTACTGTGTCATGTCAACAGCCACTTCATGCAAGAGCAACACTCCTCACCCCTGCATCCTAGCCCTGCTGCCCGCTGTGCTCCTCCACGGCCAGGCACCCCCGGGTTCCCCAGGATCAACCATCCCCTCCCTTCCCAGGGTGCCTCCTCCCTCCGTCTGACTCCATCTGCTTCAAATCTTTCCAAAGAAACGAATGGTTTCTTCACTGTTGAGCTCATTCTTCCTTTTTCCCAATGATGCTCTTGCTGTTTCCTATGGTAGTTTCCTTTGGCTGTTTGGTAAGCACTGGGGGCAAAGGGGAGACTTGAACCAGATGTTGTCCTAGACGCACCCCTGGTCTAGCATCCTCTGTATCTCAGCATGAGTCATGGACAGTCCCTTCCTGCTTCCCTAAGAGAAGGGCCCTGAGTGTATCCTTAATGAACCCTCCCAGTGAGGCTGGGAGCAGGTGCAACACTTGCTGGTATTTACAACTTATTCTCCACAGTCAGAACCCCAGGCCCCACTCAGATGTGCTAAGGTGCCAAGTGTTTCCTCGTCCAATTTGCAGATGGGTCTAGAATTTTCCGGGGTTTACTTTTACTTCCAGAAGAAACAGGGAAGTAATAAAATGAAAAGAAACAGTAAACAGTGAAGACAGACACAATCCCCTCAGTACTAACCACCTCACGTCCCCCGCCTTGGTTTGACTTGGGAAACGAGATTATAGAGAAAGAGTTTTTCACTGGCTATGTAACACAAGGAAATATTTTGGGTAGGCAACTTCTACCAGTAGAAGGATGTTGTTGTGATGTGCCACCGAGTCAGACTCAACTCATAGCGACCCCTCCTTGGGTTTCCAAGTCAGTATCACTACGGAAGTAGATTGTCCCATCTTCCTTCTGAGGAGTGGCTGGTGGGTTTGAACCGCCGGCCTTCTGGTTAGCAGTCAAGTGCCTTAGCCACTATGCTACCAGGGCTCCCAGTAGAAGGATTAGCAGGATGTATATGGAGTAGAGAACACTAGGTGAGGGCCAATCAGCTTGCAAATTAAAACATGCTGATGGTGATGGCTGAACAACTCGATGTCAGTGGGCTGTACCTGGGAAGACTGCAGAAATGGCAAATGTTTTGTTACCTATACATTTACTACAGTTAAAAAAAAAAAAAAATTAAAGCACATCCACCCAAGAAGCCCTGTATTCTCGACTGACATGTTTTGTTTGATGCAGTGGTGGTGCTGGTGGTTTTGTTTATTGGAGATCATCTTGTCCAGGGAGCTAATCTGCCACTCAGCATGGAAGATTTCCTGCAAATTAACAAGAAAATGGTCCCCAGTACCATTCACATGATGATTATAGAGGCCGTGGGGGTGGGGGAGGAAGAATTCACAGGGAGACAGAAAGAAGACTCAGTAAAGCTCACCTGTTCCCTTCTAGTTTCAGAAAGGCCTGAGGACGAACTCGGGGGCTTGCACTCTCCTGAACTTCCCGTGACCTGTGGGGAGGCAAAAGGCATTTTATACAAGGAGAAGATGGCACAAGGTGAGCTCCTTTGTCTTCTGCTCCGGTGACTCCCAGATGAAGAAACCACTAGCAGGAGGGAAGCCCCCACGTGCCTACGTCTTTGCTCAGGAAGTGGGCACCGTGTGCGAGGCTGAAGATAAGAAGTGCTTTCCCGGGTGACAGTGCCACACTTGTATCGGTCATCGTGTGCTTACCTCCCCAGTGCTGCTGCTCCAGAAATGCCACAAACAGGTGGTTCCAAAGAGCAGCGCTTTCTTCTCTCCCGGGTCAGGAGGCTACAAGTCGGAATCCAGGGCCCCGCTCCGGGCAAGGGCCGTCCCTGTTGCTTGCTCGGCAATCTTCGGATGGCATCTGTGCTCTCCCCTGTCCCCCCTTTCATAACTCAGTGTTTAGGTTCAGGACACACCCTATACTGACATGGCCTCATTTACATAAGAAAGAAGCCCCTATTCCCAAGTGAGATTACATCCATAGGTGGGGGGAGAGGGGGAGACAATTCAATTCAGGAAAATGTGCATCTGGAAACCAGGCCACTTCCACCTGGGAGTCCTCCGTGATTCCTGCGATGCCTTCAATGTAAGAAACAGGGGCGTCCCTCTGGACCCAGACAGGTGGAATGCCACTTTTAGGGCTTTGGAGGTTTGGGACAAATTCTAGGGGATCCTGGAAAGCCCTGTCTTTATGTTACAGGACCCTCAGAGAAGTGCATTCAGAATGAAGAGGGAGCTTGGTTCACGCCAAGAGAATTTGAAGTTGCTGGGAACCGGGCCCAGTCAAAGAACTGGAAGCGGAGTGTGCTCTGCAGGGGACAGACCCTAGGACAGCTGCTAGAGGTATTGTAATGACAAGGGACAGACGGGACATGGATTTAAATTCGGAAGGCATTCCAATAGACAGAAATGTGCAGAAATTCCCATTACGGTTCAATAGCACAATTTACCCAGAGGTGAAAGTTCATAGAAAAAAGTTGTGGGTGATAAAGTTGGGACCACAGACTGGTCCTGATGGTGGGGATCTTTGAATGTACACAAAGCAGCCCAACTAAAGCCCCAAAGGGTCTGGAGGTCAGGAGAGACTTAAGGAGCTTTATCCGGTGGTATTGGACGGGGTGGGTGGGAAGGAGACTAGCTGTAGCCGTAGACACCTGGAACAGCTTCCTGCCTCCTTCTTCTGGTAAATCCCTACTGGAGACCCTGCTCCATCTCGACTCCTCTGTGAAGCATTCTGGGCCACCCTGTGCTTGGTCAGTCTGTCCCCTGCACTCCCACAGTTCCCGTCCTGGGAACCCCTACAGAGTGGACGAGTCATTGTAATCCCAGGACTCAGCACAAAGCCTCCCAGTAAACTCAGAGAATTCTCACTGGGATAAAATCCTAAGGAACTGATCCAGAGAGGACGGAATGGAAAGAGATGGGAGTGGATGGGAGAGGGACTGGGGAGAAGAGCAAATCCGTCCCGGGTTTGAGTAACGAGGGAAAAATTCTGTTCCCGTAAGTGAAGTCCAGAAGAAGAACTGATTGGGGGAAGGGATTGGTTTTCATTTAGATGCTTTGGGTTTGAGAGGCCAGTGGGCTATCCAGGGTTCGAAATACTCATTAAAACCAAAAAAATATACCCGGTGCCACTGAGTCAGTTCCAACTCCTGTTGTTGTCAGGTGCCCTGGAGTCGGCTCTGACTCGTAGTGACACTGTGTACAACAGAATGAAACTGCTCAGTCCTGGGCCAGCCTCACAATCCTTGCTGCACCTGAGCACATTTGGGCAGCCACTGTCCATCTCACTGAGGGTCTTCCCTTTTCTTGCTGACACTCCATTTTACCCAGGATGACATCTTTCTCCAGGAAATGATCCCTTCTGATGACATGACCAAAGTACATGAGACAAAGTCTGGCCACTCTCACTTCCAAGGACCATTCTGGCTGTATTTCTTCCAGGATGGATTTGTTCCTTCTTTTGGCAGTCCATGGTGTTTTCAGTATGTTTCGTCAACACCACAATTCAAAGACATCAACTCTTCTTTGGTCTTCCTTATCCACTGTATTCCAACTCATAGTGACCCAATAGTGAATGTAAACCATCACTAGGAAGTGGGAAGTTCCCCATCACAAGAGAGCCTGCTGAATAACCCCCTTCCCCGATCCCTTCTCTTTTTCAGAAAGGACTTCTGCTCTGCCCTTCAAGAGTAGGTCTCCTGGAGCAGGAGGAAGGCGGGAGTGCTGCCTGTGGGCGAGACACCACCACAGGGCAGGGAGGCCAGGGGCCTGTCCTCACCCAGTCCCTGATGAGTAGCGCCTGCCGTGAGGGCACCCGGGGCAGCAACCAGGACCCGGGACAGGAGAAGCAGGTGGGCAGAAGTCCACGTCGTGACTGGGCACAGCACTCCGGCCGTATTGGTGGCGGAGGCATTTGCAAAGGGGGCAGTAGAGGCAGCATCCATGGCAGTGGTGGTGGCACCTCCCCCAGTGAACCGGTCCCTTTCCCATCCGGGAGCGCAGGGCCCAGGAGCAGGGCCCTGGGCAACGTGCAGAGCGTGGACAGCTTGGAGAGCGAGAAGCAGATGGACTGCCCGGCCCTACCCCCGGGATGGAAGAGGCAGGAAGTGATACGGAAATCTGGGCTCAGTGCTGGCAAGAGTGACGTCTACTACTTCAGTCCAAGCGGGAAGAAGTTCCGAAGTAAGGTCGAGCTGGCAAGGTTCCTGGGAAATACTGTTGATCTCAGCAATTTTGACTTCAGAACTGGAAGGATGATGCCTAGTAAATTGCAGAGCCACGGACTGCAAAAGGGTCCTCAACAAAAATAACTCTGTGCCCAACCTAGGCTCTAGGTGCCCTGGGCCACTCACCAGCCCGCATCCAGGCATGTGTTTTCAGGGAGCTGCTTGCTCACACCCTGTTAGCTTTGCCTGGACCATGCTTCTACACCTCCCCGCTGTCTGGTGAACACCTAGTCATCCAGGCCCGGCTCCACTGGGCCCACCTCTGCACAGCCTGCCCTGCGGACTCCAGCCGGAACCCATCCTGTCCCATAATGCCTCCTGGGGCTCTGACCATGTACCCAGTGTTTTTGTGAGCGCCTTGGGGACAAGGACTGTGTCTTTTTTTTTTTTTTGGTCTTTGTATCTCTACTCCAAAGCTTAGCACCTGGTGGGTACTTAATAAATGCTTGCTTTGTGTTTGGGAAAAGAAAAAAAAGTAGATTTAAGTCTCAAGAAAGGTCATTAGCATCTGAATTTCTAGCGCATTCCCAGTCCCATATTACAGACTTCCCACTCACCCTAACATTTCCCAGCTTCCACTCACCATCATGTGTAGGAATGGCACCTTCATACCAGCTGCTGTCTCTGGGTGTTACATGCACAAAATCAAAAGCCAAACTCACTGCCATGACTCATTGCAACCCCCATTGGGTTTCCGAGGCGGTAAATCTTTACAGAAGTAGATTGCCCCATCTTCCTTCCACTGAGCAACTGGTGGTTTTGAACCCCCAACCTTCTGGTTAACAGTCAAGTGCCTTAGGCCCTATGTCACATACACATCCCACCATTAATTCTGATAGTTGATTTCAGATGGGGAAACAGGACCAAAGCTAATGAAGTGTATTTGTTTTAAACAGAGATATGGATTTTTGGATGAGTACAAACCAAAGGTGTGAGAAATGGTGCTCTAGTGTGAAAAGCAAACAGTATACTGAAATAGACAAGAACACTGTGTGAAAGGGCCATGGGGCCATTTTTCATTGTATACCACGAATTGCTCAATTCACAGTTCAAGTCCCTTTGTACCAGGATGGACTGATTGGTTTGAACTGAGCTCTGTTTCTGCGGAGCCTCCCTACAGTGAAGTGACAGTCACTGATTGGCTGAACCAGGGACCCTCCTCAACCCTCTATACAGGCTTAGATGCAGCCTCCAGGTAGGAGACCCACTCGAGGGCCGCCTGCTGTTCCATGTGAATCCCAGCAGAGGCAAGGGGGCCTCTCCTATCTTGCCATGAGACTGGGCTGGCCCTTGGCTAGCTGCGATCAAAGCTTGTAAGACAACGGTCTCAGAACGCCGCACTGTAAAGTAAACTGATACATCTACAAAACAGAATTTTTAAAAAAAAAAAGATGTAGATTGACAGGGATTGAGCCTTCTTTCAATGTAAAATCAGAGGTTTTGAGGTCAGGAGAGCTTTAGGAAGCTTGATAATAGTCATACCCATGGAAGGAACCACATTTGTTTACATAAATATGTAGGTCTATGACTGAAAAAGGAGCCCTGATGATACCATGTGTAAGCGCTCAGTTGCTAACTTAAAAGGACAGCAGTTTGAACCCACTATTGGCTCGTATTAAGGCTGGAGTGTGAGGTATGTGGACCCGGGGCTTAGAGGCTGCTTTTTGCTTTGTTAAGGCTAGGGCCTGAGGTAGGTGGGCCCAGAGCTTGGAAGTGGCTTTTTGCCTGGGGGCGGCTCTATTTTAAGTCCAGGACCCGAGGTAGGTGGGCTGGGGTTCAGGGGCTGCTTTTTGCTTGTGGGTGGCTCTATTTTAAGGCTGTTGCCCAAAGTAGGCAGGTGCAGAGGGGTTAGGACAACTAAAGGGGATGAACTTATCTTAAATTTGTTGTCCTATGGTGGCCGGTGTGTTGCTGTGAGGCTGGAGGCTATACCATCGTGTTGCAAAATGCCAGTGGGGTTATCCATGGTGGACAGATCTCAGCACAGCTTCTGGGCTAAGATAGACTCGGAAGAAGGAAAAAGCCATCCACTTCTCAAAGGATTGGTCAGTGGAAACCTTATGAATAGCAGTGAAACACTGTCTGATATATTACTGGAAAACTTTATGAATAGCCCTGAAACATTGTCTGATATAGTGCCAGATGAGCCCCTCAGGTTGGAAGGTACTCACAATTTGACTGAGGAATAACTGACTCCTCAGAGTAGAGACAACCTTAATCATATGGATAGAGTAAAGCTTTTGGGATCTCCATTGGCTGATGTGGCATGACTCAAAATGAGTAGAAACAGATGCAAACATCCATTAATAATCAGAACGTGGAACGTACAAAGTATGAATCTAGGAAAATTGGAAGTTGTCAAAAATAAAATGGAACGCATAAAGATTGATATCCTAGGCATTAGTGAGCTGAAATGGACTGGTTTTGGTCATTTTGAATCGGACAAACATATGACCTGCTATGCTGGGAATGACAAATTGAAGAGGAATGGTGTGGCATTCATCATCACAAAGAGTGTTTCAAAATCTGTCCTGAAGTACAATGCTGTCAGTGATAGGATAATATCCATGTGCTTACAAGGAAGACCAGTTAATGCTACTACTATTCAAATTTACACACCAACCACCAAAGCCATAGATGAGGAAATTGAAGATTTCTACCAACTTCTGCAGTCTGAATTTGACCAGAAATGCAATCAAGATGTATTGATTACCACAGGTGACTGCAATGCAAAAGTTGGAAACAAAGAAGAGTTATCGGTAGTTTGAAAATATGGCCTTGGTGATAGAAATAATGCTGGAGATCGCATGATATAATTTTATAAGACCAGAGATTTATTCATTGCAAATACCTTTTTTTCAACAATGTAAGCGATGACTATACATGTAGACTTCACCAGATGGAATACACAGGAATCAGATTGACTACATCTGTGGCAAGAGGTGATGGAGAAGTTCAATATCTTCAGCCAAAACAAGGCCAGGAGCTGATTATGGAACAGACCATCAACTGCTCATATGTATGCTCAGGGTGAAGTTGAAGACAATTAAAACAAGTCCATGAGAGCCAAAATATGACCTTGATTATATCCCTCCTGAATTTAGAGACCATCTAAAGAATAGATTTGATGCATTGAACACCAATGACCAAAAACCTGAGGAATTGTGGGAAGATATCAAGAATATCATCCCACATGATGGAAGAGGTCATTAAAAAGACAATAAAGGAAGAAAAGTCCAAAATGGGTGTCAGAAGAGACTCTGAAACTTGGCCTTGAGTGGAGAGTAGCTAAAGCAAATGGAAGAAATGACAAGATAAAAGAGCTGAACAGAAGATTTCAAAGAACAGCTCAAGCAGACAAAGACAATTACTATAATGAAATGTGCAAAGACCTGGAGTTAGAAAACCAAAAGAAAAGAACTCACTCACCATTTCTCAAGCTGAAAGAACTGAGGAAAAAATTTAAGCCTCAAGTTGCAACATTGAAAGATTCTATGGGCCAAATATTGAATGATGCAGGAAGCATCAAAAGAAGATGGAAGGAATACACAGAGTCACTGTACCAAAAAGAGTTGGCTGATGTTCATCCATTTCAGGAGGTGGCATATGATCTAGAACCAATGGTATTGAGGGAAGAAGTTGAAGCTGCACTGAAGGAATTGGTGAAGAACAAGGCTCCAGGAATTGACAGAATACCCATTGAGATGCTTCAACAAACAGATGCTGCACTTGAGGCACTCACTTGTCTATGCCAAGAGATTTGGAATACAGCTACCTGGCCAACTGACTGGAAGAGATACATATTTGTACCCATCCAAAGAAAGGTGATCCCACAGAATGTAGATATTATCAAAAATATCATTAATATCAACATGCAAGTAAAATCTTAGTGAAGACAATTCAAAACTGGTTGCAGCAGTGTATCGACAGAGAGCTTCCAGAAATGCATGCTGGATTCAGAAGAGGACATGGAATGAGGGATATCATTGCTGATGTCAGATGGATCTTGGCTCAAAGCAAAGAATACCAGAAAGATGTTTACTTGTGTTTTATTGACTATGCAAAAGCATTTGATTGTGTGTATCATAGCAAATTACAGATAACATTGAAAAGAATGGGCATTCCAGAACACTTGATTGTACTCGTGTGGAAACTGTACATAAATCAGGAGGCTATTGTTCAAACAGAACAAGGAGATACTACATGGTTCAAAGTCAAGAAGGGAGTGTGTCAAGGTTGTATCCTTTCACCATACTTATTCAACTTGTATGCTGAGCAAATAATCCAAGAAGCTGGATTATATGAAGAAGAACATGACATCAGGATTTGAGAAAGACTCATTAACCTGTGATACACAGATGGCAACTTTGCTTGCTGAAAGTGAGGATGACTTGAAGCACTTAGTGATGAAGATTAAAGACTACAGTCTGCAGTATGTATTACACCTCAGTATAAAGAAAACAAAAATCCTCACAACTGGTCCAATAAACAGCTTCATGGTGGGTGGAGAAAACATTGAAGTTGTCAAGGATTTCATATTATTTAGTTCTACAATCAACACCAATGGAAGCAGCAGTCAAGACATCAGACAACGTACTGCATTGGGCAAATCTGCAAAAGACCTCTTTCAAGTGATAAAGAGTAAAGATGAGTGACCAATATGGCAGCATTGAGGATGAGAAAGACAGAGAGAGTTACATGGGCAGTACAAACAACAAATATGAACCCCTTTGTAAATACAA